AAAATTGTCATACTTTTAAATTACATACGCGTATTTTTCAGAGTAACGATTAATGCGGAATCAAAATTTATATTAATAATTAATCTGTGAAAATATCTTTTATTGTTATAATTATATAATCTCTCTCTTTCTTTCTCTAACATTCTTTTAAAATTTATTAAAGACATTATCGTATGATTTGCATACCTTATTTGCACCTTCGCAGCAATTATAATTATATTTCTGTTATTTAACGAAGACCTTTAAAGAAACTGTTTCGGTTGAATATCGTACTCGAATGCGTAGTCAATGTATTCTGCATTAATCCTAGCACTTTATCGCTGCCGGTATAATAACAGCTTTATTGTCTGACAATGAACGAGGTTTATCTACTGTCACGCTTCCGTAGAATTCGGTTATAGCTGTCGACCAACTTTAACCATTAATGCATACTCCTTGATTGCACTCTGAATATTTCGTATATTTTATGACCTGCGGCGGTAAAACTTTGTTTTATTAGGAAGATGCTTCAGTTTGTTCAAGACACAAAAGTTCATTGAGAAGAACTTTATTGAAAAGACGAGCATTGTATTTCCAGCGTATAATATTTGTCCCTGCGAATAATTTTTCTATTGTATTCATAATTATTACGTGATTGACGTAAATTTGTACTAACACAATGAAAGAGTTCCACTACACGAGTCACGCTTTAAATAAAATAAACAATTGAAGAAAAATCGTACGAAAAACTGATTATGTTTTTATAATATTATGTGATATATTTATAATATAAAATGCAAATTTCAAGCTATTCTGTTTTTAATTCCACGACTTCGTCATATTTGATACGTTAAAAGGTTAAAAGCTTTCTTCGATATAGTCGCTATGTATCGCATTTACGAAATTCTACGTAACTATTTTATTATTATTCGTTAACTGTTTCAACATCGAACAACATCTATCATTAATCATGCGTCTTATCCGCGGGCCGCTTATAATTAACAATCCTGAGTACGATTTCGAGATGTATTATCGCATGTTGCAAGAAAAGAGATGGTAAGTGCGATAGAGAGCGGAAGGCGATGTCAACAAGTGTCTTGGCAAGTTTAAGCGATTTTTCAGAGCTAGGCTTCTTCCTGGCGAAGCTCGTAAAAGCGCTCCGTTCTCACGCGACGCGACCAGGAAATTGCGCCGCGTGTCTGCCAAGTGACCAAAAGCTTAATTTCACGAACGGCAATCGAGCTTGTCGTTCAAATAAATCACAGAGAGGTTTCTTGCGCTATAACATCGCTGAGTTATTGTATCTTCCTTCATAATCGCGCTATTTCACCCATAAACCGACACTGTTTTATGTAGAATGGATAAAGGATATTTTACGAACTACGTTTGCTTCTTTTAAAGCCACAATTTCTCGAACAAACTATCTTCTCTCCCGATTTATTCAACATTATTCTATTTTAGTTTGAAACTAGAACCACCGAATCATTCAAAATCTTTCATTCTAGTTTCACATTTCTTGCCTTTGTAATTAAAAAAAATATGTTGAGATTTTTGACAAAATCAATATGATTCGATAGAAAAATAATTACATATTTGTTTATTTCTATCGCGTTTCTTTATTTATGATCTAAGACAAAATTCGTGTAGGCTGAGATTTTAATTACAATCAAACATTTCAACGCCCAACAACATTAATATCCATTTTACCACTACATTTTACTAATCCAATTTATCGCTTGACAGTGTCTCAAGACGGTAACAGTATCCTCTCAATTTGAAATTACAATGGAAAACGGGCATCGTGAATTTAAAAATAATACGATAGAACAAGCGATATCGAGATCGACATTTTCACGAGCCGTTATCCGAGTCCAGGTTGCAACTACGAGACAATGAACCCTGCTGTCTTTCATAAATTTTAATCAAAGAGCGACACGATAGCGTGCCTCGAAGAGTTATTTCTGCGTGAAACGAGCAGGGGTCCAGACCAAGTAGATGATCATGCATGTTTTATTACACCGCGTTTTCCTTGTTGGCTTTCAACTGGGAAACGTCCGGGAATCCTTACAGGACGAAACCTTCCTTTTTTCCTTGGAACGCGACCGGAAAGTTAATTGAAGGCAGCGACACGGAACGTGTCGGAGAAACCATAAAGAGAAGAATGGGACGGGAATGGCGGAATTATTCCGACCACGTGTCATCGATTCCATACGCTGCCTCTGTCTGCCGACAGGCCCCTAATTGAAAGAAAAAAGTTTTCCTAGTTTGCACGAGATGTGAACAATCGAATTACAAAATATTCTTATTCGTCGATGAGCGACATTAAAAACTTAATCGACTTTTATACGTTTGATCGTATTGATCTTATTTGAGCTTCTAGAGGCAATCAATAAATTTCGATTTCTATTAGCTTTGTCCGAAAAGTGTCTTTCTTTTACAACGGCGCATCTTTATGCAAACATGAAACCTAATTTATCAAACGTTGTAATCTTTATCTTGATAGAACACAATGGATTATACGTAATTCAACAAAATAATATAAAAGGGAAAATGTGCTTCCATTATTTCCCTATAAGACGAAAGAAACTTTTTGGACGACCTAATATTTTATGATTGCTTTAGTGAAATTATAGTTCTGTGTTTGTATATGTAAAATAAGTACTTTTATCTGCCAGAAAGCGTGTGTACTTACGCGTGAAAGTTCACAGAAGTTTGTATCTTATAAGCTGGCTCACATATTGTTATACATAAACGATTAATTAACTCGTTCCAGAGGACATCGCTCATCAGCGACTGGATTTTGTTAATTTCGCTCGATAATTTTAATCGTACAATCACTTGCACCTGTATCAGAACTGTGTATTATAAAGATTATTAGCGGATAAGTGTCCTAATAAATTGTATGTAAACTTTCGTGGAATATAGAACATATAGTTTATCGTAAATTTAAACAATAGTCGCTAATCCAGAAATAAATTAAACGCTCCAATTTCATTAATTTTTGACGTTATAATTCGATGATACAAATTTCCTATTCATTAAACATATATATTTGCTCAAAAGCGATATAGTGAAACAATTGACAGAGAATAATTGGGAAAATGTATGCGTCCTAAAACTTAACCGAATGATCTTCATTAAGCTCTGAAAACGAAACAATTGTATACTTTGTTTAAAATCACTGGAAAATCAACGAGAACTTAAGCCTACAAAGAAATTATTACGGTCAGAGAACGAGTCGCTTCGAACTGACTAACTCTGTCCCAACAAGAGTTTCTCGTAACTCTTATACTTACAAGGATATTTAGACGCTAATGGCCATCGAACCCATAACAAGACAAACTTTCAAGCCTATTCCATCGAATAAAAGTTTATCGTATCAAACTTTCGATTTTCAAGAATCTATTTCCTTGGTGTTCCCTGAAAACGCAGTGGATCACAATCCTACGTGTTTTTCATTAATACACACTTTATTCTATTTGTAATAAAATTTTTATGTTTCACGTAGATTGTGGATTTTAAATTGTATGCATCTTTTAATAAAGTTGTTAATATATCAATAGTATAATATATCATTTTGCTTATTGTATAAATTATCGCGTTAAATTTCATATTACGATATAATTCATTCGCAACATTTTCCAATTTTAAAACAAATATGATAACAGTCGTCCTTAAACTTTCCAGCGGGAGTTTCTAACCTTAGCACTCAGAAATACCAAAGTACTCAGAATACCGGGCCATAAGAAAATACGACATTCTAAGGACAAACACGTGAAAATTAATCTGAACATTGTACAACCGAATAATACTAATCTCACGTAACAATTATCCAACCACCCACGAAATCGTTTAATCAAACGTTATCACCAGTGGATTCTTTTTCTCAGGGGATGAAACGAAGATATTACACAGTCGTATCGAAATCACTGCAGCGTCGTTGTAAACGTCACTTTAATTCTCAAACGAATGGCGATATACTAAATATAGAGAATATCACCGCGTTGTAATCATTTACAATACACGATGCTCGTGAATATTTTCCTGTTGAATCTGTCTCTTCCGATGTCCTTGCTTCACGAATACTGTCTGCCTCCCTATGTACGAAGGATACGAAGCCATGGCGAATGAAAAACAAATAGAAAACAAAAATGACGATACTTTTAGAGGCAACAAGTGTTATCTATTCATTCTACATATCCGTAGGAAATACAGCGCAGCCTCGTTGAATCTTCAAGAACAAGGATATCCAAAATTGGATAGAAACCACGAGTCATACAGCACCATGGAAACTGTTCGAGATCGTAAAGACCGTGTTTGAAGGACCTATTCTACTGTTTCCTTACCTTCGTAATGATACGGAAACCGAACGTAGCTTCCGTTTTGAACGAGTGAAGTCTTAACTGCAGATTAAACCAGGTACAACCATTGGGAAGGGTCCGGTCGAGGACCCGTGACGCGCACTAAATCTAAATACATTTGTAGGCCGTTTTACCCTTCTCTCTGTTTCTTCTCTCCACTCCTTCTTGCCTCTTACTCTTTCTCTACTTCTTTTTTCATTTATTCCTCTTCTTTCTTCAATTTTCTCTTTTTTCTTTCTTCTTCTTCTTCTTCTTCTTCTTCGCCTTCGTTGTCGACTCTTTCAGTTTCTCTTAAATTATTCTTAAGCTGGAGGTAGAATTCGAAGAACGGCTACAGAGGGAACGGCGCGTAAAGGTAGTTAGTAATTGAACTAGGCGAAATCGTAAACTCCGGAAGTGATCTGAATAATATACAATATTAATTGACAACATTCGTTTTGGTCGTTCTTCTCTCCCTTAATTCGAAAGTGTTCTCGTTCATGCGTTTCTCGCTGATACTTACGCGCGTGTTCCCGCGCGCACCATTAGGCTTAACATAGATATTCTTATCGGACAACGTGTAAACCTCGAACGAGTAGATAAAACAATAGATTCGAATAATAACTCTTTTTTTTCTCCAGAGACATATACGTTTAATATATTAGTAGATTTTTCTTTTTAATAATTAATTATCATATATTCATATATTTCCATATACACATATATAAGTGGTATCTTTAATCTCGCGTTAGCTATCGTGATTCCATCGACGAGCCACTCTTCGTTCTCTAAAACCTTCTCTATTCTTCTCTCCCTTCTTTTAATCGATATGTCAGACTGTTCCCATTCGTTCGTTTAAATTATTCATCCCTGTTCCTTCCCTCGGTACCGAGTTTCTCCCCGAGCTCTTAACTCGTTCAGTCTCCAACGTGTGCTGCACCTTCCGCCGATATAAGACACTTTTCCTCGTTGATCACGCCGCCTCTGCAAACGGAATTTCACGCGGTGATGCGTACGGTGATCACGCAGTGTCGCGTCACGTCGCGCCGCGGGGAACGTGCAAAATACGAGGAACGCGTGCGCTGCGATCAAACCACCTACGATATCCTTTCTCCATTGCGAATCACCGCGCTTTTTGCCACTGATACACGCTGCCCGTCGCTCGTCAGAATTTAAACGCGGCCACGGAGCTGCTGGTGCGAGATAACGCCGAGGGTGGCAGCAAGAAATTCGGCGAGCCCCTGAGTTCACGGCGCTCAAACGTCCGTTGAGCATTAAAAGCGTCGCCCAGCTTTATCGAGATCTACGCGCCCTTCTTTTAAAGCAAAATTCGACCAACATCGTGGTTATTCTCTCGAGGCAAAATTATCCTCCTTTTCGGTATCTTTCTTAACGTTCGCGGCCGTAGAAATGGGAATAACAGCGTGAAAGGGCGCGGAGCGTGAGCTTCGGTGACGACTCTGATTCTTCTATACGATATATCGGAAAACGATAAGAGGAGAATCGTTGGGAAGAAAACGAGGCTCAGTTATAACTTGAAAAGTGAAAGTATCGATCGATATTCTGTTTTAGATTTATGTTTGTTAGAAATTTTTAAAGCTTGTCAAGGACAGTTGGTCAATTGGTTATTCAGCTTTAGGGCAATTTATAACAAATACCTAAATTTCGTGTAGCTAGTGAAAGCACAAGTAAGGGTTGCTGATGTTCGACGATGGCTAATGACTCGAAGTTATATTGCTGTTAGGTACCGAGAGTTTTGATTGTTTAGAACGAGAAAATTTTGGTATAGTAAACATCGCGTTGCCTTAAAAGGAGAGCAAGGTGTTGTCTACAAGACTTAATCGCTCGATCCTTCTTGTTTGGAAAATATTTTTATTAACAATTTTACGGATCGATAATAGCAAAATTTGACGATAACTTCCAAGGTATTTCTTCCCTTGACCTCCACCCTAAAGAAGTTTCATTTATCCTTTAAACCGTAAGGGATACTGTACAATTTCAAGATATCGAATTATTTTACTCATTGTTTCGAAGTTCTATGCGCTCTATCGATCCATTCCGCAACAGCTTATCGCTTTAAACGAGAACGCGAAACTTGCAACGTTTTCTCGCCAGGGAAGGTTAAGTCCTCGCTTCGAATGCAAAAAATATTTCGTGTCTCGCTTCACCGAGGATACCAAACATGTTCGTCGCAAGATACTGCGTCAGCTGCGGCCAGCGGAGAAGTCTACAGGGCTTTCGAGACTCGCTCCTATATTCGCCTGCTCTCCAACTGCCTGTGATATTCTGCAGATAACGGTCTCTAATACGATGATGGTGGAACTTTAAATGGACTCGTCTATTTTTGAATAAAATTGTAGCAAAGTGAATAGAAAAGTTGAGAAAGAGTTAAAGTCGCCAGCGATGTTTCTTTATTGGGAATTGTAGTGAAATTGTCATAGACTATCTGCTTTAAAAACTCGCACGAATCGTGAAGGGTATTTCCGAAACAGGAACTAAGGGCTTTGGGAATATATTTTATGCTTCGTAATCCATGTAGATTTTTACGTTCTAGTTATCTAGAGTACATATCTATCTATCTTGTATCTCTTTTTTTTTGTATTACTATTTCTGTGTTACCTTCCTTTGTCACATGTTATTAAATTCTCACAGCTCGGACATTATATTCTACTAATCAGAATCAGATAAACGTAGTTCAATAATATGACGTTATCGTGGCAATAAATCTGATAAAATCGTATATATTCAACTTGAAAGATCAAACAAAATATCTTATACAGAGTATAGTGATTAAAGAATCGTAAGAATATTGTCAAACTATCTTTACGCCGGTGAAATGTCCTAAACAAATCTTTGAAGCTAAATTGTCGCAAATGAAACTCGAAGGGACTATAAAAAATGGAACAAAATCAAAAAAGGAAATGTTTTAAAACTCTTTTTTACTCGATTCTTTTTACGATCCTTACGAGATGTGAAATACGTGTTTCCAAAGCAGAGCGAACCACTTGAGGGACACCTGCTTTCGCGTTACGCGATTTATTTTCGCGTATACAATGTACAAGTCACGGTAGATGGAAGTTCGAAGCAACAACCCTGGAGGATCGTATTCTCAATGAAACCGCGTTGGTGCCTCTATTTCTGGCGTAACGAAACGAGGAACGATTAATCACGGATATCGTAACCAAATGTATACGTTAGCTCGTGTATACGAAATGAACTTGCACTGGAATTTCTGCTTTATTGCTCCGTTTCGAAACAAAACATACGATACGTTACGCTAGGTACGTTACCAGAATTATATTCAGATTTGCTAGTACCATGTTTGCCTTCGGTAAGAATAATTCTCTATGTCGGAATAAAATAGTACAGGAGTATTCGAAGAAAGTTTCTGGTTTATCCTACAGAGATATTATTGTACTGAGATAGAATAAAGGCGATAAATTAATCGAGGATAGTGACGATGAGCTGAATATCTAATCCAGTTATGGAATAATGCTGCACAAGACGTTCGTAATAAGACGATATAAACTACTTAAGAAGAGTTTCTTTTTATGAGGGATAAATTGTGAATAAATTATAATATATTACTTTATCGAAAAGAAGTACTATATTAATTGTAAGTCTTCAAAAAATTGCAATCAAATTAGAAGATGGAAATTATTCTATATTTCACAATGAAACGTTGATAAGAATTGATTCGAGGTAATATTTCGTGTGAAAGGATATTGTATAATTGAAACGACGCTAGACAGTTGCTAGAAAGAAAGATGATGCTAATTCCATAAGAAAAATTCCATAAGGAACGTTTCGCTTTGTTGAAACGAAACGCGCGAAACAAAATTTCTAAATATTAACGATCAAAGTAAGAAATAAGATTATACGTTCGCTATTGCAAACGAAAATAATCATACATCTCGTTATTCGAACAGAGTTTCTCTTTGGTGGATATCGTGTAATTGAAACGGAACACGAAATTGGAAAAACGAAATTTCCGAACGTGAAGATCAAGTAACAACAGGCTAATGATATACAGACGGTCGTGATTTACGCGGTACGTTTTCTAACACAACGATTCGATACCGGAAGGCATAAAATTCAGCGTAAAGTTCGGCCTTTGAAATGAAAATTTGCTGAAAATTTATAACGAACCTGCGATCGATCGACTGGCCAGAACAAACGCGAGAGAGAAAAGGGAGGGAAAGAAAAATAGGGAATTTCCAAACGTTCCGACGAGAACACACGCGCGTGCCCTCTCTTCAACTCGTTGAGCTAACGTGCTATTGACCCGCTAAACCAATTTCCGGGGCGCAATTGCGGAAGATTTTTATTACAGGGAACGTGACCATAGAATCCAGTCGATCGTTTCTACCTTCCATTTGTCATGTTAACCTGTAACCGCGTATCAAAGATGAGACGAAAACTTTCGATCGATTAAAAAGTTGCTTCGAACCTTCTTCCGATAATTTAACACGACCTGTGAAGTATAAGTCTGCGAATTCTAATTAATTAACGAAAGTTTTCAAAGTATCTGTCAAAAGGATGGATTCTAGATTTGTCGTTTTTGCAATTACTGAAAGCATAAAAATGCTTTTAAGAATCATTGACGTTGATTTTTATCGAGATAGAAAGATGATCGTATATGTATACTTATGTATTTTCATCGCGTCCTTTTAATTATGATCATCGATGTTCTAAATATTTAACGTTTTAATAGTTCTATCGTAGGTTTTTAATATTCAGAAACAATCAGAAATTGCGGTTACACGAAATTTACCATATTCGACATTTCCTTGTTTTTTTTTTTTTTTATCGATATTAAACTAAAAAATAATTCCTCTCGGTATAATGAATGCTTCCGATAATAAATATCGCGGTTCACTGTTCACCTCCATAGCGTGGAATTATATGGTATTAATTATATCTCCCTCGGAAAGTCGAATTATATAACTGTAACATATCGCAAGGCTTCGCAAAACTTTGACTAGATGTAAAATCGATCGGGCATTTCAACATATAAATTTCCAAGTTGGAACGCGAGTTTTCCGTATCGAGGAAGTTTCGATCTGGAGAAGAAGAGTTTCGGTCGTCTCGAGCTTTCAACGTTTCCAAGTTTGTCCGAGTTGCTTAGTTTTAACCCCCCTTCCGACAGGAAGAAAGGCTAGCGTGGAGGCAAGTCGAGCATAGCTCGCTTTCGAAGTGGAAGAAACGCGTATTATCGTTTTGTCTGGCAGCAATCACAAAGGTGGCTCGTTTCTCCGGTGCGCGCCGTTTCTCTCACGGCCACGAAATTCCCGTGCTTCAAAGAACGTCGAAC